GTCCCTCGGCCCTTAAAGGGGAAAGGTTGCCTACCCCTGGGTTGGACTATAGCTCCCACTTTCTCCTCAGAGGGGCTGGACTATAGGTCCTGGTCCTCCCAGATGTTATCAATTATAATTAACTTTCCCCAAATGGGCTGGATTATAGGTCATCACTCTCTCCTCAGATAGGCTAGGCTGTAGTCCCCACTTTTTCCTCAGAAGGGTTGGGTTATAGTAGGGTTCTGGTCTATAGCTCTCCATTTTCTCTTCAAATGGGTTGGTCTGTAGATCCCCATTTTCTCCTTAAAGGGGTTGCACTATTTTTGTTGTTCACTGTCCTCAAGTCAATCTCAACTCATGGCAACCCTATGGATGAGACATCTCCAAGACCCTCTGTCCTTCACTGCTCCGCTTAACTCCTGCAACCCCGTAATATTCATGGCCTCATTAATAAGAGTCCAACCATCTGGCATGTGGCCTTCCTCTCTTGCTGCTTCCCTCCACCTTTCCCAGCATTATTGGTTTTTCCAATGAGTCTTCTCATGATGTGTCCAAAGTACGACAGCCTCAGTTTGGTCATCTTTGCTTCCAGGGAGGTTTCCGGCTTGATCTTCTCTAGGACCCACTTGTTTGTCCTTTTGGCTGTCCATGGGATCCTTAGCACTCTTCTCCAGCACCATAACTTTTGTGCTGAGTTGTATGTCTTTGCATTTTAGAATCTTTGCTAGTTCTTTCATAGCCACCTTCCCCATTCTTAGTCATCTTGTGATTTCCTGACTGCAGTCCCCATTTCTGAGAGTAGTGGAGTCTCCTTCCTTGGAGGTCTTTAAGCAGAGGCTGGATGGCCATCTGTCAGGGATGCTTTGATTGGGAATTCCTGCATGGCAGGGGGTTGGACAGGATGGCCCTTGTGGTCTCTTCCAACTCTATGATTCTATGATTCTATGATTCTATGATCCCAGGTATGAGAATTCTTTTACTATTTCTCTTTCTTCTTTGTCTAGGTTGAACTTGTGAAGGTCCTCGGTGGTCATTATTTTTTCTTTATATTCAGCATTAAGTCTGCCTTTGCACTTTCTTCTTTGATCTTCCTTAGTAGGTGTTCCAGGTCTGTGAGGTTTTCTGATGGTGTTATGGTGTCATCTTAAATTGTTGATATTCCTTCTTTTTATTTTCACTCCTTCTCCTTCTGTATCCAAGGCTGTTTTCCTTATAATATGTTCTGCATACAAGTTGAACAGATAGGATGAAAGAATGCAGCCTTGTCTGACTCCTTTGCCAATTGGGAACCATTCTGTTTCTCCGTGTTCTGTTCTGACAGTAGCCTCTTGTCCTGAGTACAGATTCCTCATCAGGACTATCAGATGTGTTGGCACTCCCATGTCTTTAACGGCATTCCATAGCCTTTCATGATCTATGCCAGGGGTAGGCAACCTTTCCCCTTTAAGGGCCGAGGGACTTCAGCTCCCAGAATCCCAGGAGCTATTGGCCAACATGGCTGAGGCTTCTGGGAGCTGAAGTCCCTCGGTCCTTAAAGGGGAAAGGTTGCTTACCCCTGATCTATGCAGTCAAAGGCTTTGCTATAGTCTATAAAGGGATGCAGTGGCTCAAGTGGTTAAGATGCTGACTCTGTTGATTGGAAGTTCAAGGCCCGGGTGCTGCATGATGGGGTGAGCTCCTGGTCCCAACTTCTGCCAACCTAGCAGTTTGAAAGCATGCAAATGCAAGTAGATAAATAGGTACCACTTCAGTGGGAAGGTAAACAGCATTCTGTGCAATTATGCTGGCCACATGATCACAGAGTAGTCTCTGACAACGTTAGTTCTTTGGCTTAGTAACGGAGATGAACACCGGCCCCTATGGTTGGACACAACTTAACAATCTTTTCAATTGGGAATACCTTTACCTTTATAAAGCACATGCTGATTTTTCTTTTGGAATTCCCTGGTGCGCTCCATTAGCCATTGCATGTTTGCAATGTGTCTCTCATGCCTCTTCCTTTTCTGAATCCTGCTATAGATCCTTAGTTTCTCTTCAGAGGGGTTGGACTATAGCTCCCCAGTTTCTTTTCAGATGGGTTAGACTATAGTTCCCCACTTTTCCCAGATTTGCTCCTTCCAGATGTGATCAATTGTAATTCTTAACTTTCCCCAGATGGGTTGGATTATAGGTCATCACTCTTTCCTCAGATGGGCTAGGCTATAGTTCTCCACTTTTTCCTCAGAGGGGTTGGACTATAGTTCCCCATGTTCTCTTCAGATGGGTTGGACTATAGCTCCCCACTTTTTTCTTCAGGGATTGGATCTGTTCCTCCTAGATGTGATCAATTATTATTCCCAAATTTCCCCATGTGGATTGGATTATATCTTCCTACTTTCTCCTCAGAGAGATTGGCTACAGCTCTCCATTTTCCCCAGATGTGTTGGACTATAGATCTTGCTCCTCCCAGATGTGATAAATGATAATTCCCAACTTTCCCGAGATCTATTGGACTATAGCTTCACACTTTCCCCAGATGAGCATTTATTTTGAGTGGAGAAAAACTGGAGTGGAAAGCACTTACGCATCTATCCCCATTTCTCAGCACTGTAGATTTGTTGTTATGTGCAGTCAAGGCTCAGGTCCCACTGAGCACAGTGGATATTAATGACTTGACTAAAATTTATTTTATTTAATTTATATCCTTCCTTTTTCCTTATACAGGATTCCATTGATTGCAAAGGAATGTGCAATAAGTTCCTATGCCTGTTTCTTCATTAAATCCATTGCTCAGTCCAACGGGTTGTAAACCTAAAGACATTGGTTCAAAACACACTACAGAAATAATCCTGGGAATTGTAGTTTATTGTGGCACCAGAGCTCCCTGACAGAGAAGGCTAAATGTCTCACATAACTACAGTTCTTGAAATTCCCTAGCACTGAGCCAGGGCAGTAAAAGTGGGTTTCAGACTGGATTATTTCTGTGGTGTGTTTTGGACCATTATGTTCCATTGAAATGAATTAGGTTTATTTCTACATAGACATTCATAGGATTGGGTTGCATACTCTCAATTATAAATTGATTTAGGCTGCAATCCTATAACCAGCTGCCTGGGAATAAAGCTCACTGAACTCAAGGGGGCTTACTTCTGAGTAGACATGCAACGCTAAACATTCTGAATAAACTGAAGTTAATGAAACATACTTTTGAGGAGACATAATATTCTCAATAACTATTAAGTGCAATCAAGTGCAACTATTAAGTGCAATCAAGCCTGTTTAGGACTGCAATATTACTCCTTCATGATTTATGTAGGACTGCAGTTTTAGTTTGAACTAACTTTAACCATAATGGCATTCAGCAGAGAAACTCTCATCAACTTGGTACCTTCCAGATGTGTAAGACTACAACTCCCCATCATCCCCACTTGGTACAGCCATTGACCACAGGATTCAGATTGGACTACCAATGGGTGGGATACAAATAAATTTTATTATTATATTATTATTAAGTGTAGTCTTTTTTAAATACTATTTTATTATTAATAATATGACATACTTAAAATCATGTTTAAAAATATCTTATGCATAGTATTTCACATACAATATGTAATAAATCACATTAATTATCCATTCTTAATTACTCTATCTAAATCTTATCCATATTAAACCATTTAATATTAACTAAACCAATAATTAGGGAAAAAATCCCATGAAATTATTATTGATATCTTCATTCTTATTACTATCTTCTTTTCAGCATAC